AATAATTTCATTTTTTTGCTTTCACTTCAACAACAGGTACTCTAACATTCACAAGAAATACTGCATTGCAAGACTCCTGTGATCACATCTTCTGCTTAGTATTCAACCAAAAATTAAGTCTCAAGTATAACACTCCTTATAGAAGACAACACGTGAAAGTAACCCTGCTGAAAGTTGGTAATGCCTCAATGCAAAATGGCAAGTAGCACTCTGCAAGAGGAAAAACAAAACAATCCAACACATTCCCTATTCTGCATTAGGCACAGGAAGATCTCTCTCATTTACAGCTAATGAAAAGGGGCATCAATATTAAACAAATTAAAAAAAACACTCAGAAACACACTTTTGTAGATTATATTATCTGACAATGCACCCTAAACACAATATCCATCACTCATTTTGGGTTTTTTCCCATCACCTTTCTAATCCTGCTTTCTATAGAGATCACACAAATTCACCATGTATCTTCGTCTACAGGCTTAAATATGAAAATCAGAATATGTGCAAATCCCTTTACTGTGAATAATCTTAGACTCAACATAAGAAATTCTTTTCCTGTCTCATTCCATCTCATAAAGTGAAGCTCTTCTTCAGTGCTGAAAACTGCTATTAAATGAGGCTGTAAAAACCTGGCTATGACAGTTTACTCTGGATTCGACTTACACTTTTGATTACAGTTTGCTAGATATATCCACATATAGAGTTGCTCAACATGCGACCAAAAAAATAGTAAGTTAACAACCCTCTTCCAACCCTATCATAGGTAGCACAAATACAGGTAGATAACATTTTTCCTCCAGACAACGTAAGGAGACGTCTAAGTTGGCGCCCACGATAGCCATGAGCGCAGTACAATCTCAAAGAACCACTGCTAACCCGAGGGGCTAACCCCGAAAAACCCGCCCCGCCACACTTGGCACCCTTGGAGCCCACCGGCGGAGGGCTCGGCGCATCCCAGGGCCACCAACCAGCTCGCTGAGAAAGGACCCACGTCCTCCAACAAGTAACCGCGCCTGCGAGGCCGGGACAGACCCCAGGCCGGGCCGGGGCAGGGCTGCAGAAGGCCGAGGGCGCAGCCCCGGGGCTGACCGGCTGGCCCACGGCGGGCGGCAGGGGAGCACAGCCCCAGGTCGTCGTGCCCCACTCCGCCAACGGCGACCAGCGCTGCCTATTTTAGGGAAGAAGAACAAGGCCAGCCTTTCCCCTTCGGACCGGGACCACCCGGCCCCACAGCGTGCAGGTGCAGCCGGCCCCAACGGCCGCGAGGCGCGCCCCTCCCCCTGCGCGGGCCCGCCCGCCCTCCTTCAGCGGCTGCCCCCCGCTCTCCGCACTGCGGGCGCGGCCGACTGCCCCCCCTCCCCCGCTCTCCTCAGCGGACCACGCGGCCCCACCGCCGCCCTCCCGCCTGCAGGAGAGGGCCTTCCGCCTCGGAGCGGCGGGCTCCTTACCGCGGCAGCGCGGCCGGCGGGCTGCGGCCGGCGCAGCGACAGCGGGCTCACGCACGAGGGGCACTTAACCCCATCGCAAGCCCCGACAGCCGCCTGGGTTCCTCCTGCTGCCGCGGCGGGGAAAGAGGCCCGCCCCACCGCGCCACAACCGCCAATAGCAGCGGCAAACGCTAATGATTAACGGCCGCACGGGCCAATTAGCAGCATAGCGCCTTCCCCCGGCGCTGCCGGTGAGTGGTGCTTTTCAGAGCTTACGCGCGCGCAAGCCCGCCCAGGAAACAGCTGCCAATCGGAGGGCGCCGCTGCGCTGATAGATGGCTATAACCACCAATAAGAACCCCGCCTTGGCGCGGACACCGGCACTGTAAAGCCAACCCAGTGTGGGCAGCCGACGATTACTGGCGGCGCGCGGGTAGACTGCTCCCGCGGCTAATGGCAGCCCGGGTGCCTCCGTTCCCGCGGTTCCGCTCCTGGGCGGTGGCAGCAGCCTTCCCTCGGCTGTAATGTGCTGAGCATGCCTGCTGGCTGCCTACCCCGAGCAGCAGCACCCCAGCCCCTCTACGTGATCTCCCAGCAGACGCTCGGAGAACCCGTACTCCCGGCGGGGCCGGCGCAGGGCAGGATGGGAGCGGTAGTCCCGCCTTGAGGCGCACCCTTCCTCTTTCCGGGCCCCTCTCCTTGGTTCCAGCCCTGAGCCGCTCTTCCCGCCAATCTCTAGAGCCGGCGTCACTGCCCGAGGCGCCCCGTCCTGCGGGCCCCTCTCTTAGCCCAACCCTTAACACCACCCCTGCGCTTGACGCCCTCTCCTCCCAGCGGCCTCTGCCCTTAGGTAACCATGCCGCCTTCCTTCTCGCGCTCCGCCCCCTCCGGCTCCCGCAGCCTTCGTTCCTCATCCCGGCGCCCCACCCGAGCAAAGCGGGGGCCCGGACGGGACACAGCCGGGAGGAACATGATGTTTAACTCGGGAGAGCGGGGCGGGAGGGTCACAGAAAACACAAAAAACGCTCCTGGGACGCAGAGCCGCCGCTCGCGCAACGGGAAGCGCGCGTTTGGGCTCCTCCACTCTCCCCCGCGTCATTTCCGGGCGGCGGCGGCGGTTTGATCTTAGAGCCCGCGAAGGTGTGAGGCAGCGGCGGTAGGAGCTGTGAGTGGCGCGGAGGGCACGGCCCGAAGGTCCCCGCCTGTCAGCAGCCCCGCAGTGGAGCGGAGATCGGGAGGGTCCTCTCCAGCCTGTTCCTGCGCGGTGTCTGGGAGGAGGCGGAGGGCGGCCTGGTTCTTGCCTCACAGGTGGAGGCTGGGCCGGGAGTGGTGGGATGTGACGCGCTGAGGGGCTGCGCGGGCAGCAGCGGCGGGGTGTCTCCTGGGTGGGACTCGGATACTGCAAAGGGGCGAGGTTTCAGGTGGCGTTTCTCAGACCCTGTTTGTGTGATAAGGCCTCGTTAGTCCTGCTCGTTCTGGCTGCTGCTGCGTTATCACAGCATGTGCTCGGGTAGTTCTGCTATTGCAGGACACCCCTGTACAGGGAATGTTAAAAACTGAATAAATTCCCCCAGGGCAGGTATTAAGGTGATTGTTTTCCTCAAGGCACTGGCTTGTGGAAAACCTGCTGTGTGCTAGAGAGCTTTGTTCTGTCTAATTGTTTTTCATGTAATTTTTTTTTTTAAATGCTCTATTCTGATAACTTGGTTAGTTTTTCAATCGTTTATTATTGCACCATATTCTTTTACAGTGGAAAAATGATTGGATCAGTCGGCCAAGGACCCGTGATTTTCTTTGGGTCTTACATTCCCTATTAAGTTTTTTTGAACATAGAGTTGGTGAACAGTTGAGACCATGAAGAGGAAATTTATGAAGCAAAGGCTTGATGGAAATACTCATTTGTTTCAGGCATCTGTTACTGAACTGCATTGAAAGGATATACTTAATGGCCTATAAAAATAAATACTGGGTTTATATTATGATCATCTTATGCTGACAAACAGCTATTACAGAACTTAAATAGCCTTTGAAGTTCTTGTTGGTCTTGCACCCAACCTTCCAATAAAAAACCATATCATCTAGGGTATTATCCTCAACAAACTGGGTCTCAGTACAGACCTCTGAAGGAGAAGTGTCTGTAGTGAAATGTATAGCATTTAGTAGTAGTATAGTCAGCAGTGACAGAAAGAATTCCAGATTTTTTTTTTTTTTTAATTTTGTTTTACAGATATTTTTACTGTCCTTATCCCTCAGGGGTTACTTATTTATCCAGATCATTTGTGAATTCATTGAACATAATAGAAGTTGGAGCAGATTCCTTTAGAATATTGCTCATGATATTTCTCTTATATACAAACAGTCTATCTGCTCGTATTGAAAAAAAAGTTTCAGGGCAGTTTTTTCACATGATGGCTTAGTTTTCATAAAAGTTTGAGGGACTTTCTTAAAACTTTCCCTGCGAATTACTGTACAAATACATTTGTAAAACTGTTTAAATTTCATTAATTTTGAAAAATCGTAGAAACTGGACTGCACCAACAGGTTTATAGGTACATTGTTATAGATCCCCTTCAAAAACACTTAAGCGGACTTGAAAGAGAAGACCCACCTTTGCAAAAGGCATGTTGATTCCCACCAAATAGATGCATTTATCCTGTGTTCACAAGTTCTGCACTTCATTTTTCACTGTTTTTTATGCATAGTAAGAGAGTTCTGCTGTAGATCCATAAGTCTTCCTCGTTCCTCCTTTTAAAATTTGGGATCATTGACCACTACGTAGTCCTGAGATACTAAAGCGGTTTTAGATTAAAAGTTAGTGAGTTTAGGAATTCAGCTATTTCATCCTTGGTTTCCTTTACAGCTTGAGAAAATCCTGTACAGTTTTTTTTTTTTTTTTTACTCATGCAACTTCTGTAGCCGAATGCACCCTATGCATGAAAATTTAGGTCTCCACACCAAGCCTTTTAGGTCTATTTTTTCTGAGAAAACTGACATTCCGGAGCTTCTTGTAATCTAGAGATGTAGGAAGATTGATGGGATGCATATTATAAAATATTAAGGACACAGAAACATGAAAAATTGTAGCTAGAGAAAACGTGCACTGAAGCTTCTCTCTCTTAGTTTTCTAATCTGCAGTGGGTAAAACAACAGGCACAAACTTGTTTTCTGTCACACTGATGCTTTTTTTTTTTTTTAAGGCTAGCTTTATTTATTGCTTTTGCTACAATAGTGTAAATTATTGATTTGTCTTAAAACAGAATAGAAGTGACCACTACCAAAGTCATTGTACACAAGCAAGGCAGCAATTCTCAGTATAATCATTACCGTAGCAAATCAGTAAAAGGAAATTTTGTGGAATTTCTTTCTCTGTATTCTTTCATTGTTGTTCATTCTCGTTTTCCACACAACCAAAATAGATCTTTCATAAGGTCAGTATAGCTTTCACAGTGCCTTCTGTAGCTATGGATATCATAAGATAGTGCTGCAGGTATGAATATAGGCGGAATATGGATTTTTTTCTCTGCTGTTTATTCAGGAATCTTGACAGAGATTTGAATCTTCAGTGTGTGATCATTATAAAGTGCATGTTTACAATAACTAAATTTAAAAGGTTTGGGGAAGAACTATGTAAGTATTGTTTAAAAAAGAAAAAGTGCCTTTTAGTTATCTAAGTTCTTAAAATTTCGTTCTGAAGTGCTTGTTCACAGGCAGTTGTATCTCAGGCATCAAATATTTTCCCTGAGGTATTCTTTCACTTGAATTCCATAGAATCAACCACAAGTCTGGTAGGCTACATACGCACAGCAAATGGCAAAGTCCATCTTTGAAAGCTTGTAGTCCAAGTGAAAATAATAGTGTTGATAAGGTAAATGCAAAGGACTGAAACATAAAGTTGATAATTAGGACAATATTGTGATAATGTGATTACGCACACTACTTTGCCTTTCCAGAGAGCAATGTGTGAAAGGTTTAGTAATGCACAGTTCACACTGCTGTCTTGTGCTGTGCTAACACTATTCCTTGTATATGTGTCGTGGTTTAAACCCAGTCAGGTAATTCGTTCGCTCACTTCCCCCCCTTTTCTTGCCCTCCCCCTGCTCTCGGAGGGACGGAGAGGAGAATCGAAAAGAATGCAACTCCCACGGGTTGAGATAAGAACAGTTTAGTAACTAAGGTATAACACAGATCACTACAGCTACCACCAATGATAATAATGATAAAGGAAATAACAAGGGAAGAGATACATCATCTCACCACCAGCCAACCGATAACTCGCCCCCCCAGCCCGACCAAGCTCTGACCGATACCTCCTCCAACTCTGCAGTCCCCCAGCCCTTCCGGCTAACTCCCAGTTACCTCCTGGGCATGACGTGCTGTGGTATGGAATACCTCTTTGGTCAGTTTGGGTCAGGTGTCCTGTCTCTGCTTCCTCCCGGCTTCCCCTCCTCCCTGGCAGAGCATGAGGCTCACAAAGTCCTTGGCCAAACCAAAACATCGCTTGTTATCAGCTCCGTTCCCGAGCTGAAAGTCAAAACATTGCACTGCACCAGCTACCAAGAAGGGGAAAAATGACTGCTACTGCTGAACCCAGGACATTATCCACCCCTTATTCCATACCATTCACGTCATGCTCAGATCCCACATTTTCAATATACTCTTATCTTAGTGCATGGACCAGTCCCTATAAAGCTGCTGAATCCATCTGGTCCATGATGTCAGGCTCCATCTCTTGTAACAGTCTTCCAGAGCAGGAGAGACTGTGTGCAGTGTTCACACTCGTGAATAACCTGGGCAATAGTGTCCATTGCTAAGTCCACCCCTCGATCATGAGTCCATCTCTGTGTTGCATCTCTGCTCTGATGGCCTGAAGTGCATTGGGCCCACCAGGCTCAAAATAATTCACTGTCCCCTTCAGCAGTTTCTGCAGCTTGTTGCTGGGGACTCCATACAGCTGCCTTCCATCTCCGATGCTTCCAAAGCACTGGAGGGGCCCAGTGGACTAGATACTTGCCCATACTGTCCCACACACCCTGCCACTCATGACTGTCCAGCCTTGGAGAAAATCGCTTGGTCCCCTTATATCCTCGTCTAACCCCAGACAAGACCCAAACCCGACTCTGCTTAACTTCTGAGATCAGACAAAATGGTTGTGGGTAGAACACAGCCTGTGTGTGTGCCAACATGCTGATCCCCATCACAATCAGCAGGCAGGTCCCAAGGATGCCCAAAGGCCATTCAAAACCTTCAGAACTCTCAGTTGATGCTGCTGTACTTGTCACTGGGGCCGGTGCAGCTGCTGTGCTTGCCGGCTCTCCCACCGCCAGCTTCTCTTTTCCTGAGTGCAGCTCTTCCTCCTCTGCCTTGCTGGGAAATGCTGCGTGGTCTCCTGCATCCTCCTGGGGCTCGGCGGGCGGCTTCCGGGGAATGCTCTCGGCCGTGGCGGGGCTGGGCTCGGCCGCGGGGCTCGGCTCGGCCGCGGGGCTCGGCTCGGCCGCGGGGCTCGGCTCCTCCGCCGCCTTTTCCCACTGCTCGGCAGCCGCTTCCTTCCTCTCCTCGACCGCCCCGACCTCCTCCACCGGCAGCCGTCCCCTCGCGGCCTCCGGCCCCGCTCCCGCCGCCGCTTGCTCCCCGGGGCCGCTCTCCCGGGCCGCTTCAGCAGCCGCCGGCTCCCGGGGCCGCTCCCCCTCGGGTCGCCGCAGCCTCACGAAGATGGAGAGTAGGGTGAGGGCCAGGACGGTGAAGAGCAGCCGGACAGCCAGGTACAAGTCCACGGCCACGTCCGTCCCGCCCTGCTGCTGGAGCCCGCCCGTATTACAAGCCATTGCCATAAAGCACAGTGAGACAAGAACCTTAGCCCAGGCCCCATACTTGATAAACACTATCACAGCAAATACCGGCTCTACGTAAGTTACAACATTCTGAAGCTGTGAGATCAACAAGAACAACTCTGAGAGCCAATAAATCAGCATTGTGATGAGTGACTATTAATCCAGTCAGATCTGTCGTTATCTCAACCCTTCGTGCCCCACGTTGGGCGCCAAAAAGAACTGTCGAGGTTTAAACCCAGTCAGGTAATTCGTTCGCTCACTTCCCCCCCCTTTTCTTGCCCTCCCCCTGCTCTCGGAGGGACGGAGAGGAGAATCGAAAAGAATGCAACTCCCACGGGTTGAGATAAGAACAGTTTAGTAACTAAGGTATAACACAGATCACTACAGCTACCACCAATGATAATAATGATAAAGTAAATAACAAGGGAAGAGAATACATCATCTCACCACCAGCCAACCGATAACTCGCCCCCCCAGCCCGACCAAGCTCTGACCGATACCTCCTCCAACTCTGCAGTCCCCCAGCCCTTCCGGCTAACTCCCAGTTACCTCCTGGGCATGACGTGCTGTGGTATGGAATACCTCTTTGGTCAGTTTGGGTCAGGTGTCCTGTCTCTGCTTCCTCCCGGCTTCCCCTCCTCCCTGGCAGAGCATGAGGCTCACAAAGTCCTTGGCCAAACCAAAACATCGCTTGTTATCAGCTCCGTTCCCGAGCTGAAAGTCAAAACATTGCACTGCACCAGCTACCAAGAAGGGGAAAAATGACTGCTACTGCTGAACCCAGGACAATATGTTTTTATAATAGTTATTGTTCACTGAATATAGGCTTCCTTAATTATTCACCTACTCTGTAATTAGTTGCCATCCATTAATTTTTCACCTAGAGAAAAAAATAAAACCTTTTCTATATCTGGATTCTGTGTTGCTGCTTTTTAAGATAGATCTGCAGTGTCAGTTTGAACCTTACTAGTAACTGATGCAAAAAACATTTTTTATGGTAGTATTGCTATGTATAATGAGTCATATGTGCCTCCTCTAATTCAAATTTATGCTTCTGAAACTGCATAGTTTTTATTCAATGTTTCAGTGAAAGAATCTTGTCATAATTTGGTTCAACATAAAGTTAATTATGTGAACATTTCATTCTCATATTGTCACTCACAACAAGCTATGTAGCAAGCTGATCAGAAGTGTATAATTTTCTTTGCTTTTACAGCACAGAAAATCATCACAGAAAGTGAGTCAGAAATTTCCTTTAGGAGTGAATCGCAGAACTCAGTGTTGTAAAGGTTTGTCAGGTCCACCAGTCCTGCAAGCATACGTGTTGATTGGCTCTGCAGAAATGTTTAGTGTTTGGTTTTTGCCATCAGTCTTGCAGTACTTTAATGAACTTCTAAAGAAAAAGAAATACCCTGTGGAAAATATTGTGGTAGAACTATTGAAGTGATTACCATTGCTTTCCCAACAGTTAGAGCTAAACCATTTCTGTTTCCTCAACTGAGAGTAAGTCAGTATTTACCAGAGCTTTCTAACTTCTTCTCTCTTCTTTACAATGCATCTTTTGGGCATACAGAGGAAACCAGAGGCTTTCCTTCGTCTGTTAAGCAAAATTCAGTGATGAGCATGCATCAAAGAGTCTTGATACTGATAATAGTACTTTTATCTGCTGTTGAATATTCTAGAGGCCCAGGATGCCAGAATAACGTTTCTTTAAAGATATGAGAGAGATTGCACTTAGAAAAGTGGAAGGGGAAAAAAAAGCCATAGTCAGTAGTACAGTCACAATTAGATGATACAGGAAGTCTGGCTTGCAGAAAAAAATAATCCATATTTCCTTTCTCTATAATCAGCTATTTCATTGCCATTGAGAGGGCATCCATCTTTTATCTCTGGACAGGTTATGTTCTAGTCAGTGGTTTATATCAGGAGGTGGTTTAGCAGCACTTGGGTTTGTCTCTTGTTAGGTTAGGATCTTGAGTGTGTGACCTGATATGAATCTAGGGAGAAAAGATCCTATCTTTTTTCTGATGGTACCAGACTTACTTGAAAATTGGGCTTTCTTTGCCTTGATTGTGCTATTGGAAGCACAACAGCAGCCTCTTTCCAGCCATGGAGTTCTTCCTGCTGTGTGAATCACTTCCACTGATCTAGTGAGGAACATCAGGTGGTCAGACCCTTGAGTTACATTTTTTTTGAGAGTAGGATTGAAACCATGTTTATACAGAAGTCCTTAAGTGTGTGTATATACATGAGCTCATGTCTTTCCAGTTAGGACTCTTGCTTTCATACATGTGCAATAGTATTTCTAGGGCTTTATATGTTTGAAAGCTTGTTTGGTAGTACAGTATCTACTGTTACTTATACAAGAAGCTTTTTTGGTTGATAATGTTTGTTTCTATGATCATTAAGGTAATCCTGTTCATCACACAGGCCGTGAATCCAAAATAATTAGGTAATGCTTTGATGTAAAGGTTTGGTGCTTTCTTCATGTTTAGTTAGCACAGACTGCTACCGAGCTTTTTAGCCATTTGTTTGTTTAAAGTGTAGTGAAGTTATAAGAGAACAAAAGCTAGTATTTCATCTCTGATCCTGTCCCCTTGGACAAAAATGATGAATCCGTGTTTTTAGTCTGAAGCACAGTATGAGAATTTTCATTGAGGTCTTTACTCCTTTTTTTTTTTTTAAGTGGTTTTTTGTTTGTTTGTTTGTTTTTTTTCCTTCCCCCAAACTGGGTGTATTTTGCCCTTTTTTTTTTGTAATTTGATTCTTAGGATTAAAAATTTTAGAGGACTCTTAGTTCCATCATCAGAAGATTAAATAACCTTTTCTTTCCTGTAACTTTTCTGTGAGAAAATATTAACCAGAAAGAGTTATATTTTAATGTCTATAAGTAAGCTCTATTTGAATAGCAAATAACTTTCATCCATAAACAGGGAACTTTCTTAACTGTTTCGTAGCACTGAAGAAGTGATACATGCAGATCTCTTCATACTGCTATAGTTAGACTATTTTGTTGATACTAGGGTGCTGGGCTCTTCCATAATATGCATTGATTTATGCTTTCTAGGAAGAATTCTCAAGACTTGAGAAAAGCTATGTAGATACTGAGTATTTAAAGATGGAGTGATTATTATTATAGTTCCATTCTGTCACATAACTGCAGGCCTGTCTTTTAAGTAAGACACCTTCTTTTGGTGTTGTTTCCCTCAGGTTCACCATGGCAAGTACATTGCAGGACACAGCTACACTTGAAGATTCTCAGTCAGAAAATGTTGATGCTAAGCTGTCCTTTCTACCTGAAAGACTGAGAAAGAAACTGCTTCCTTTTCAGGAGAAAGGCATCATATTTGCACTTCAGAGAAGTGGCAGGTAAAATCTTTATTGTGTCATATACTAAAAATAATTATTTCAGGTAATAATATCTTAATTTTTACACAGGCTGTACAATACCAGCAGCTCTTAGGTGTGTTATATTACAGAAAGCTTACTTAAACTATAAGATAACATGGTTTAAAATGAGGGTTTGTTTAGGGCTTTTTATTTTTTTCCCAGAAAATGAAGAAATGTTTAATAATGCTTTATGGAAAAGCGAACTGTAGTATCAAAGATCTCATGTAAGAGGAGGTTGATATCAGTACCATCCTTTTTGTCATGTTAATAGAGAATTCTTAAAATAAGTTAATTCATATTTGTTTCGTTAGTTCTTAATGGCGTGGTAGAGCTGTTAAGAGAATGAGTAACAGATCTTGATGCATCTGTGTGGTATTCTATTTTAAATTTGGTACAATTCTGGCGTGTAATCAGAGTGTTCTGGAGCTCACTGAGCTGCAACAGCAGAGCAGAAGAAGCCTTACAGAGTCCTCAGTTAGCAAGTGCAGCAACTGATAAAGTAGGCATTTAACAACTAAGTACCTGATAAATCAGAAAAATGGTTTATGCAGCAGGAAATATTTTGCTGAGTCAGAGCATGCTACTGGTTTATAGGGCAAAGAAAAGGGAAATACTATTTCTACGTTTAAAAATTTTAGAAAATTTAGGCAGTTGCAACCTAAAGCCATGAAACAACTGCATGTTGTTCTCTTCAAAGCAATGACATTTTAGAGGTCTGGCACGAATGAAATCATTTTAGCTTAGGTTTTAAAGAAGTTAGTTTCTGATACTTTGCTGTCTTGCTCAGAACAAGAGGTTTAGGGCCTCAGGGGGTTCCTTGCTAACATTTGTGATTTTTTGGCAGGAGAAAATAAATGTGTCTCTCTTTTGCTAAAGGTGAAAAATTGGAAAGAAAGTGTTCATCTGCAGTTCTTGCAATTACATGGAACTTCTGATCAATTAAAATTTCCTCTGAAGTTTTTCACTTTAATTCTATTCATTTGGGCAAAACCTTTCAACAGTTATTACATTGGTGTCTTCAGGGAATGAAGCATGCCATCTGTTCTATGCTGCCAGACTAGGAGGTAGCAGAGCAGAAAGATGAGCCCAGCCACTAACATGCAAGCCTGAGATGTAAAAAGCGTTATGCTGTTTTGGCATTAATTTCTATTTGAGCACTGGTCATATTAGGCACTTCCCTGCTGCACAGTGTGACTGTGAAAATGAATGCAGACAGTTTTAATTGATGGCTGAGACTTCGATAGAATAGACAGCAAAGTCTGCACTGGAGTTGAATTTAATAAATCCAAAGCCCTTAGCTACCGTATTTTGGTTGACCTGATTGTAATAAAGGGAAGTGAGGCTTACATAGTATTCGATCAAAGTGCATTTGTATATACACATAGTGAAATTACAGAAGACGCTAAATGCGTGTAGTTTCTTAATTAGGAGGCTAGTGGATCTGTTCGAAAGTAGCATAATTTTTTGCAGCCTATTATATAATATTGAAGTTCCTCAGGAAGCAGCTTAACTGTAGGACTAGATAAATTTTAATCAGATGTTTCATTCTTTTTGTTTGAGAAGTAACAGTTGCCTACAATAAGTATCTGAACAGGTTTGGAATACCTAGGCTAATGACTGTCAAAATGAGAATTAATTATTTTCATTAGGGTTATGAGCTTTATGTTACTTTCTTTTCTTGAAACCTCTCATTAACCAAAAACAATTGAGTAGTATGGTGTTGATGGTTTTACTGTGACATGTATGGAAGTATTTTCATCATTATTGCAAGAAACCTTTATTTCTTGGCATGGCAAATTCTTTATCTTAGTTGAGTCAAATTGAGGAATTGTGTGCACACTCTCAGCCAGCCTCTATGTAAGTAAAATGTATTAAGTCAAACTTTCCTGAGGAGTATTTTTTAAGTCTGTCCCTTGCTCAGGTAGATCTAATTTTCTTCCTGTCCCAAAACAGAGAACAAGAGCCTCTGCTGCTTGTAGCTGAATTTTCTTATTTGTCAGCCTTTGGCTCACCCAAGTCTTTTCATTTTGTGTACGCCATAATGATTTAAGCCTTCTTCCAGTATTCCCAGTGGTATATTTTGGCAGGGTCTGGTACTTTTCTATAGAAATGTCATTTGTAGTTTTAAAAAAAATATAAACATGGGACTAGAAGTAAGCAGTATGTGCATCTCCTCAGGCTATGTACTCTCTTTGCAGTCATCACGTAGTCCGTGTTTTGCAGTAGTGGTAGGAAACTGGTGCAGAGAAAGCATTCTGTTGTTGGCTGAAGAGATTTAATATTATTTTAGGTTAGACAAGCACCCCCTGTGAGAAGGGGCTTATTATTAGAACAAACTTTTATTTGTAGTGTGGAAGGGGCTTAGAGTAAGCTATTAATTCCTTTGTCTTTTCCTGGAGGGTAAAATAAATACGCTGTTGTGATTTGTGCTTTTGGTTCATTTGTAAATGAATTAAAGGCTTTTTCAGTGCATGCTCCAAAGGAATCATGTAGACTAACAGAGGCTACCTTACACTTTTCCAGAA